AGCGGCACAGGGCGGGCAGTGCCCGCGTTGCCCTCCCCAGATAGCGCCAGCAGACGCGGGGCGCGGCCTGAGCGAGCGCAAGGGCGGCCGACGCTCTCCGAGGCTCCCCGGGCGGGCGGCGGCTGCGGAGTCTGACGCACATGACCTCCGACCTCCGACCTCCGACAGTCGCTGGGAGGAAACTCATCTCCGAGGGCTCGAAAGCCCAACCTGCTGGGGGCAGAGCCCGCCGGGGGCGCGGTGCTGAGTGTGTCGCTGGCTCGGGCTGGCCCCGGCCAGCGTACGAGAAAGGGAGGTGGGATATTCCAGAGGCCGCTGGGCTTGAGACGTGTACAGCTGAAGAAGCTTAGAAAAGGCACCTTTAGACGGCACAGGCCTTCCTGTGGACACTCACCCAGCGTCCTGGACATCACAGGCAGCGCCGAGCTCAGGACCAAGATGGACACGCAGTTCCCGATGATCTGCAGGAGAAACCACAAAGCATGCTGGGCGGACGGGGAGCGGGCCCGGGGGGTCAGGGCGGACGGGGAGCGGGCCCGGCGGTCGGGGAGGACGGGGAGCAGGCCCGGGGGGTCAGGGCGGACGGGGAGCGGGCCGGGCAGTCAGGGCCCCACGGTGCTTCCTGACAGCACCACTCGATTCAGAATAGAGTTTTTAATCTCTACACTTGTCCAACGACGGTCTCGACCCGGGGCAGCAGCCGGCCCCGAGTAGCCCACAGCTGCCCTCCACGGCTTGGAGCTCAGCGGGCGACCAGCTTTCCCTGGGACTGCGTGACCACCTGCTGGGGCCAGGGGGGGGAACCCCACTGGCCGCGGAGGCCCCGGCCCCTCCCCCAGGGCCGTCACACAGCTACGGAGGCTGCGCTGGGCATCAGCGAGCCGGCTGGTGTTTCTGTTTGCGGGGTTCGGTGTCCCCTACTGCCGCGCCCACCCAGATAATTAAGATAAACTTCGTGACACACGGCTCAGCGCCGCCAGCCCCGCAGCTTCCTCTCCAGCGCCTCTTCCCTGTCAAAGGAGAGAAGCCGGGGACGCTGGCCATTCCTTGGGGTCACTGACCAGACGCCCAGTGCCCAAGGTCACAGCTCGCGGCCGGCTCCTCCCCGGGGCTCCGCCTGAGGGGACCGGCCGGCCAGGCGGTGGGGCGGCGGCTCCTCCGGAGGCCAGCGGCCCAGCAGCCTGGCAGCCAGGGCCCTGCGCAAGGTCAGCCTGGACTCCGGCTACAAAGCGCTCTCGAGCAGCCGTCCCGGCCGCGTCCACCGTCCAAACCGGGCCTCCCCCCGCTGCCTCCACCTCGCCGACGAGCCCCGGCACACGGGGCGGCGTGGG